ACTAACTGAGGATTGAAAATATCCAGAAAAAAAATTGCACCTGTACTGAACACGTACAGACTTTTTTTCTTGTTATTATTCCTAAGCAATACAGTATAACAGCTATTTACATACCCTTTACATTATAGTAGGTATTATAAGTAATTAAAGGTGATTTAAAGTATACAGGAGGATGTGCGTAGGTTATATGTAAATACTATGCCATTTTGTATCAGGGACTGATATAAATCTGCATCTGCAGATTTTGGTATCCTCCGGATTCCTGGAACCAATCCCCCAAGGATACTGAGAGACGACTGTATTTTTTCAAATTATTATACAGTAGTGCTTTTTTTGTGAGGCATCTTAAACTTTATCAATAGCTCATTAAGTATAAATAAATTCATATTGTAAGGCAGCTTAGCAACTTAAACTGATAACAAAAATCACCCCTTCAGTTTCTGAAAATAGAGAAACCTCTATTAGGAATTTTCAGTGTAAGTGCTTTAAAAGATTTTTGTGATTAGGAAAATCATTTTCATGTTTGACATTGCTATTTCAAGTAGTCTAAACCTGGCTATAGCTTGTACACTGAAGAATGTTTAGGCCATTTCAAAAGGATTATTCCAGCATTCAGAGTCCTTCCAGTTCCCTCTGAGAATGACCTTTCATGATAAAGAATGACACAAGTTCATTTCATGATCCAAAAATGACACTAGCAGCGTCAGAATCTTGGTGCTAACCAGTTCTGAAGTGTTGCTCACATTATTCTGGCCTCTTTTCCATAGGAATCTTTTAGGTCAGCAGAACACAGGTCTGAGATAAAAAGTTCTGTTGGAGGCATCAGTCTCATGTGACAGATATATTCTGGTTAGAATAGGGGGGAAGTTGAAGTCTGTGGAAGCCACATGCTTATTATAGGTCAACCATAAATTCCTAGTATTATTTAATTTTGAGACCATTATTTCGTCAAAATCAAGGTTTTCCTGTATTATTTTTCCCCGTTTCCTGTTGTTTTTCAAACTTTGTAAACATATTCAAATATATTTTTGCTAGAGCAGTAAAATATTAATAGAATCCTCCCCCACCCTTCCTTAATACTTGTTTCCTAGGGGAAAATAACATAAATGTGCTCTTAGAGGAATCAAAAGATTGGTTGCTACATTACTCCTTCAGTCCTCCAGTTCTAAATGTAGATTTCTAAAATTGGATGGTCTGTGTTTGTCCTCCTGACTGAATTTACTTTCAGGGTATACACCTTTTCTTCCCAGGCCACAGCTCTCTGAGGGACGGTGCCAATTGCTAGGAAAAGCCACCCAGGGAATGGATATTGATCTGTAGTACTAATGCATAATATATTTTCAAGTGCCAAAGAAAATATGGAGATCCAAGTGGGTTGGCATATTATCCTTTTAGAGGTTATTAAACTCTTTTCCTGCCTCTGCTTGCATTTCTTTTTTCTGTTCTACCCTTCTTTATCTCCATACAGTAAAAAAAATCATTGATTCACTTACTACTAATGCACAGTGAGTGATAATTCAGTCTGAACATATCAGTGCTATGTATGAGAAAGTATTTCCTAGGTAAAATAACAGATAAAAAAGATTGCAAAAAATTACCACCTTAATGAGGTACTTCAGAAGTAATTATTTAATATGACTGACATGCTGATTATAACTCATCATTTTTATGATTAGCAATCAAGCCTTGGAAGGACCTCTCATCTTAGTAAGTGATTTGGTCTAGTTTGAATTGCTGTATGTGCTGGAAAGTTCTAAGGAGGCTGTATTTCTTTTGGAAATGTTCAGTTGAGAATTTCTCTAATCTGAACTTGTGTTCCCAGGACAGAATTAATGAAGTATGATTATACTTTTCCAAAAGTATTTTTTAGGACTGAAACCTTTCTACATTTAATTTTAAAAATTTATCTTTGAGGCCTTGCGCGATGGCTCATGCCTGAAATCCTAGCACTTAGGGATGCCGAGGCAGGAGTATTGCTTGAGGCCAGGAATTTGAGACAAGCTTGAGCAAGAGCGAGACCCTGTCTCTCTAAAAAAAAAAAAAAAATTAGCCAAACAACTACAAATAGAAAAAATTAGCCGGGCATGGTGGTGCATGCCTGTAGTCCCAGCTACTTGGAGGCTGAGGCAGAAGGATCGCTTGAGTCCAGGAGTTGGAAGTTGCTGTGAGCTAGGCTGAAGCCACGGCACTCTAGCCCAGGCAACAGAGTTAAGACTGTGTCTCAAAAAAAAAAAAAAAAAATGAGTTATAGTCTCCTCCTTATGAGATTATTTTGAAGATTAAATGAAAGAGTGTGGGTGGCTACCTAACACAGTGTCTATGACAAGGCAGGTTCTTAGCAATTGTTAGTTTCTTCCTTCTTGCTCTGTATTTGCTTTGCCTGATTGTGTTGCTAGGAATAATTCCTTGCTTGGCCAACATTACTACCTCTGTTGTTGTCATGCATTCAAGTAATCCCCCGTAGCTTCTTCATTGCATCTTAAACATAAAATCAAAAATTTTTAGAGCTGGGACAAATTTGTGGGAAACCCAGGCTCAAAAAGGCAAATGGCATGTCATACTTACTGATTCAAAGTAAACCTGGGACCAAAGCACAGGCCTCAGGACTCTGGTTTCTACCATACCAAGACTATTGGGGATGCTTTTTTCTTTTATAAAGGGTGTGGTCATGTAAGATATATGGACTGTTTTTTAAATTGACTCTTAAAGTACAAGTCTTTGGAGAAATACCTTCTAAAATAAAGCTTGAGGTAATTTAGCAGTGGGTAAAGTCAGTTCGTATAATACACCATCATTATGAAGGTTAGCCTGATCTTGCAGTAGGTTACCAAACCCTTGGGGCAGAGCTGCTGGCATCCAATTAATGATTTCAGAATAATTGTACTGCTGTCAGGAAATTGTGTGGTTTTGAAAGGTAAGAGCGCTTTTTGTTGTGATTTCAAAGGCGGTGAGTCTTACATTTTGGCTAATTTGATATCATGTAAAATTTAAAATTTTGAAGACTAACTTGATATGGTTCATATTATAGGAAAATATACATCTGGATTTTCTTGAAATTTATCTATGTGCTTATAGGGGTTTATATTACTTGACTTCTTGTGACTCCTTTCTCCATCTGTTTTGTAAGAGGCACCAGGCAGGTCATTTGAGGGCCACCTGGTTTTGTTTTCTTTACTTCTTTTAGAAGTATGGGAGATAATCTTACCATACAAAGAATACTTATAAATCAAGAAGAAAAAGAACAATGATCCAGTAGAGAAACTAGGCACATGACACAGAAGGCTGACATGTGGCTCTTAAACATATACTAGTGGCAGGTGAAGAGATCAGGCTCCAGCTGCAGACCGCCTGGACTCAGATCCTGACGCTGCCACTTACGAGCTCAAGTAAATTCTTAAAGTCTCTTTGACTCTGTTTCCTTATTGGTCAAGTGAGGATTAAATAAATTAATAAATGTCGAAGCACTTAGAAGAGTGCTTGGCCCTTGGTGCTCAATAAGTTAGTTGTTATTGTTGCTACATTCTGATTATTTTTTTAAATGATGCCTAGCCTCACTCATCATAGGAGAAATGCCAGTTTAAACAAAACTGAGATGCCATGGTAATAGGCTGTGTGGGAAGGGTGTGTGGGTAAACAGGCTCTATCTTGCATTGATGGCGATTTTATATATTGGTACTACTGCATTAGAGGACAGTTGGAAGTTGCTATTAAAGGTAAAATAGCTTATTCGACTTCGACCTAGCAATTCCGTTTTTAGGGATTTATCTTGGAAATTTATGCATAAAACAAGACACATATATACAATAATATATGCAAGCAATAATTGCAGTGGTGTTCCAGCAAAAGACTAGAAATGACTTAAATGTCTCTCAGTAGGAAACAGGTAAATTGTTAAATCCATGTAATGGATTGCTATAGTACCATTGAAAAGAAATGAAGTAGGTCTACACGTGCTAATATAGAATGATGTCTGTAATATACTGTTAAGTAGGGGGAAAAGCTTCTATTTGTGTTTTTGTTTTTCAAGCTACACATACATGCATACATATCATGCTTATATGAGTGTACACTGTCTCTGGAAGGAATTACAAACAACTGGTATCAGTGGTTGCCTTTGAGATGAGGGTTAGGGAGGGATGGTAGGGAGAATTACTTTCTTCTGCCCTTTACTATTATTTGAAACAAAATTTTTTTTATCATGTTCACGTATTACTCCCTCACATCTTTTACCTGTCCCCACCAACACACACACACACACACACACACACACACACACACACACACGCACGCACACACTTCAAAACATTCAGATGCTGCTCGAGTTCTCTGGCTGTGTGGTGACAGGGAATAGCTTGAGGTGATGGTGTTTAATCCTTATTGAATATGTGGTCTGATACTTGGGGTGAGAGCAGGCACCTGGTCTTTGTCATCCAAGTTGTTGCTGCTGGGAGAAGTCTCTCTGGATGGGGGGAACTGAGGCCTTGGCTAAGTATGCTCAAATCCTGAGGCTCTCTCTGCGTATGGTGCTGTTGGAGCTCCTGGAGCCAGAAGGAAGTTGGTCTTGAGCCTCCCTCTCTTGGCTATTTTAGAGGTCTAGGAAGAGGGAGAGTAGGAAGCACATGTGGAACAGATAAGCACTGATAATAAGTGAGCAAGACAAACAACTGGTTCTAGCAGGTTGTCCTGTCATTACAGAAACAGGCCCAGATTTGCAAGGTAGATGGAGGATTGGACACGTTGCTGGGGAAAGTGAGTGATCCATTTAACTAAAGGTCATTTATTCTGGAGTTGGCTTTTGTTAGCTTTTGTTAATGGGTCTTTTAAAGTTAGCTAAATGGTTATTTAATTTCTTCTTGGAATCCTTTTTGTTTGTTCCAGCAGAGATGTCGGCTTATTTATAGGAGTTGCTTGAAGCCAGAGTCATGGTGGATGTAGGGAAGTGGCCAATCTTCACTCTGCTGTCACCTCAAGAAATTGCATCTATTCGGAAAGCATGTGTCTTTGGCACCTCAGCCAGTGAAGCACTCTACGTTACTGACAATGATGAGGTAAGCCTCTCTTAAAACCTAGAGTTTAGTTTCAGGGCTTATTTTGGGGTTGGGCTTCAAAGTGTGCCATTTGAAGACAGAGAAAAGGTGGGGATAAAGAGAACCTGGAGTTCAGGAAGATTATGCCTTTGATACAGCTTCTCTCTTCTTTCAGTGTTGTGATTTATACCCCTCTACTCCATACTATTTGAGTTTCATGGTAGAGACAAATATTCTAAAACTTTAGTAATGCCAGCAGAGGTCGAGTGTTTCTTAAAAACCTTATCAGTCCCTTCTTACCTACTGAGTTGTCCAATTGAATTTGAGGTGTCTTATTTTCAGAGCAGAGAAGGGAGCTTCTACTATAGCCTTATGCCAAATGACTCCAACAAAACCATTTATTTTCTAGGTCTTTGTATTTGGACTGAACTATAGTAACTGTCTAGGAACTGGAGATAACCAGAGTACACTTGTACCCAAAAAGCTAGAAGCCTTATGTGGAAAGAAGATTAAAAGCCTTAGTTACGGGAGTGGACCACATGTTCTTCTCAGCACTGAAGGTAAAGAGAAACAAATCTAGCTTTTCAGTTTGGGGAAGTCGGGCAGTTAACTCTAAGCTAAGAGAGGTAGAGCTATATCAAATAATTAATTTTGGACTGTTTGTTTCTTGATTTCTGAGGGGAAGTACACAAAGCAGATAAAAGTTAAACACTTCAGGCTAACTCAGGAATAGCCATAGAAGACGTCTTGCAAACTGGGCAGACTCCTGAGGTTTTAGACTACTTATGTAGAGCTGTAGATGACTAGATATAGCAAATGAAGTGGTCCTTCCAGCCTAATTTTTCAGTGGCTTTGTGGTTGCAAGGCAACTTTCAGGGTTTCTTTGGTATATTTTTATAAACACAGATCCTACTGGTTTTCCTTCTTTGTATAGTTCCTGAATCATTTGAATGGAGAAATCTTAGTTTATTCCCTGGCATTCATGTGGGTCATATTGAAAGAGTCAGGGATGTGGGTTGATAGATTCTTGTCCTTTTTTTCTCTGTCTCTCCAAAATCACTAAAGGGAGTAGGCATTTATCTTTGGTGATTTATCGGCACTGTGGGTAACCATCACTCTCTGAAAGTTTGTTATATATAACTTTAAATGCTTCCTTTTGTATTTTAGGCACATTTTTAGCTCTTGCTTTCTCTTTTGCAGAGGTCCGCAGCTTTTTGTTGAATAGTAGTCTAGGGCGGCATCTGGGAAACGGTTTGCATCCCTGCCTTTCTGTGTCTAGACTGAGGAATCACAGCTTCCTCAGATGCTGCCACAGACCCAAGTATCTAGTGTTTTCATTGCCTGTAGCTCATCTCTGAATCCACTCCAAGTTCTCTGCGTCTTTCACAAGCTGTGAGATCCAGAGCTGAGTGTAATCATCTAGTGCAAGTCTAACTGGAGTTGTGCATAATGAGGTGATTATCTCACTTCTGCTTTGTGTAATCATGCCTCGTGGCATCACGCTGGTTCTTTCAAACAGTTACTGCATTACTGACTGGTTCAGCTTGTCAGCCTTTGTGACCTTAGGATTTAATTTTTTCCTAGCACACACCAAATTTAATTAGTCCTTGATTTCTGACCATAAAATACTGAGGCAGATTTTTTTTTTTAGAGCAAACATACTGAAACATACACATTCAGATTCTTGGTTTTCTTCAAAGCGGTGACCTTAGGAGACTATAACTCTTCTTTTGGTATTATTTTCAGAGTCCAGATCATGCAGTTTTAAATATATTGAGTGTTACATTTCAGATATAATTAAATAAAAAACTACTTTTTGTGGGGATATCTTTCTTTTTGTGGTTAATTCAGTTTTGATTTTTATAGCACATTTTATACAGTATACATCATGCTTTACATTACATGTCATTATATATGTTGCATATGTGTTACATAGGTATTAGAAACAATCAAATAGTTTTAAAACAATTTTAAAACCATCAAATAGTATCAGATTTTTAGGGAAAATAAGAAGCGCCTCTGCCTTACTTCTCTTCACTCTTAGTAACTACCCTTTAGAGGGAACCACTGTTAACTCTTTCATATGTTTCTTCTGGTATTTAATCTCATATTTTTAAAAGAACATGCTTATACTCCTATTTCTGAATTTTTAATTTTAAATATTATCCTTTAACTTTCTGTAATGGCAGATAGAATTTAGGTTTATCCCTTACCTTCCCTCTCCTTATCCTTTCAATATAGTGATATCATCATTTTGGTTAAATCAGTATTCAGTATTTATATTATTAGGACCATATGGGTATTATTTATAGCTGAGCTGCCTCCTTCCTTGTACAACTATTTGTTTTCCTGGAGTTGATAATTACCTCAGGTTTTTTTCATTTACTTACTTTTCTATACAGCCATTGTTAACATATGCCCACACTCTTCCACAGAGCAGCACATTGTTTCACAGCACTTCTAAGCATATCAGGTAATCTCTTGAGCCCTCTGTCCCTTGCTCCAGTCTGGACTGGTCACTCTCCAGCCTATACACAGCTATTCACTTCACCTTCGTCCTCAGAAGTCCCTTCACTCTGTCCTTTCTGGACTCCCCTATTTTTTGTGTCTTATGTCGTCCTCTTTGGGTTATACCCTCATTTGGGTGAAACACATTCTCTAGAAGTTTTCCAGGAAAGAGAGTGTGAGAGAAATCTTTGAGATTCTGTCCTAAAATGTCTTTCTTCTACCCTTACTAATGCCTGTCAGGGGTTTGGCTGGGCTTAGAATTCTAGGTTGGAAATCATATTTCCTCAGAATGTTGAAGTCTTTGTGCTTTTCAAGTTTCAGGGTTGCTGTTGAGAGTCTGGTGACTTTCTGACTTTTGCTATTTTGTATATGATTTTTTTTTCCTTTTTGGAAGCTTTAAGGATCTTTTCTTTATTCCAAGTGTTCTGAAATAATTATGACTCTGTACTCCGGTGTAATTTTTAATTTTATTGGTCATTCTTATAGGCCTTTTAATCTGGAAATTCTTTCATTTCTAGAAAACTTTCTCGTAATATTTTATGACAATTTCCCCTCTCTGTTTTCTCTATTCCCTCCTTTTGTAATTTTTCTTAGAAGGAAATTAGAGATTCTGTACTGATCTTCCTTATTTTCTTTTATTTTCTCTCCCATCTGTGTTCTGGGAAATTTCTTCAACTTTATCTTACAACCCTTATGTCAAATTTTAACATTTCTGCTGTTACACTTCCAAGGGCTCTTTCTTGTTCTTTAAGTGTTCCTTTCTAGCTAGAGCTGCCTGCTATTGTTTCTTCTCTTAGAAGCTATTTATAATTACAGGTTATTTTTAAGTTATCTCCTAGTCTCTACATTGTTTCTTTTTCTCCTCCCAAATTTCTTGTTTCTCTTTGTTTTGGTCTCTTGACTTTCATTTAGAGGCTTGCTTCTAAAGTGTGGCGATCCTTGGCTGTCGGTTCACAGGTTAGAGCAGGGCACTTCACACGTGTTGGGAGTTCCGTGTTCATGGGTGTGGCTCGTCAAGTACTGAGGGAGGTAATAACTGTGAATTTCTATAGAGTAGAGTCTGCCAGGTTCCTGACCTGGGGATATAAAGCTTTTTTGCCAGCTTTCTGGGCGCTGAGCAAGGGAAGCGTAGGATCTCAGTATTTAGTACGTGGACTTGTAATTCTCCTTTTCTCACTACAGTGCCTCGTTGCCGCCTTCAGGGCCCCTCTGGATTACTTTCTCTTCGAGCTTGTTTCACTCTCACATCCCCCCTCGGCTTGTTTCAGTCTCACATCCTTGGGCAATTTTGCTCATTTCTTAAGCCTCACGTGGTCCTAAAGATTCATCGTTGGTCTGCCCGAGACTGTGTGGCCAGAGCAGGGCTGGGGAAGCGGGTGCTGGTGTCTAGGGGGTTGTGTTGCTTTGAGGGCTTCGCCAGGATTTGGGACTAAGAGCCATCTTCTGATGCAGTTCACCTTTCCGGAGCTTCATAAAGGAAAAAGGAAAGAGAGGTGTATGTATACCATCTTATAAGTAGTGCCTGGCACCTGCCTTGGGCGGCTCACCTGATTGGGTGGCCCAGACTCATCCATGAGGAGTAAGAGCGGTGACCATGTTGTACTCAGGCCATGGCTGCTGTGCGTTTCTGTTTACCATCATTATTGGGCAAGTATACGCGAAAAGACTACCAAGTGTCACCTGGATGCCAAATATATTCCTCTCTGCCCCTGTTACATAACAACAGTCCTACCTCTTCTGTTAATGGGGTCATTTGCCCCTGGCAAGAGGGCGACTCTTGCTTCCTGTTGGACTTTGCTTAGAGTATTAGAGTTCCTGTGGCAGCCATAGCTTAAAGTTCAGTGGGACTCTCACTGTGTCCTTTAGTGGAAATGTTCTCCCTTTGGGAGCCAGGACTTATACACTTGTGGAAACTAGAATTGCAGGGACAGGAAGCCCAAATTCCCTAAGTCAGTCACTGGGAGTGGTGGGCAGCAGGGCCTCTTATATATCCACTGTTGGTTCCTGGACCCATGTATTCTATCTGTTAGAGACACAGCGTGATGTAGTGGCCATTGATTAAAGAATACACTTCACTTGGTGGATGGCATCCCATGGGCACATGGCATCATCTCCAGGCTGATGCCTCAGCTGCCTTTGGCCAGCTCATCCATCACATCACATCACATCTTCTTGTTCTTTTTTATAGGGTTCTCCTATCTATCTATCTATCTATCTAGTTAGTTAGTTAGTTAGTTAGTTAGTTATTTGAGACAGAGTCTCACACTACTGTCCTGAGTAGAGTGCCGTGGCATCAGCTTAGCTCACAGCAACCTCAAACTCCTGGGCTCAAGCGATC